CCTGGTGGCCTGCCAATCGGTGGCGACCCCCTCCTGAGAGGTATGTCCCTCCCTGCTGCCTTGGGCCACCAGAGCCTGCAGCACGCTCCCTGGGCCGGCAGCAGTAGTAGACTCTTCCCGGTGAGCCAGCCAGTGGAGGGAGCCCGGATCCCACCTTAGCCAGGGCTACAGTAGCATCCCACCTGGAGTAGCAGATCCCGGGGGGAGTTGGCCTGGAGGAGGCTCACTGAGGACCCACGGAATTGGGTATCAGGACAAGAGAGAGGGGGCCCGTCCGGCTGTGGGTCTGCAGCACACTGGGGTCTGTCACTGGAGGCGGGACGCGAGGCATCCCGGTTTGGACACAGCTGTTCCATACTCCCTGCTCCTCCCGGGCAGTCGCCATGAGAACCCACACCAAAGCCAAGTCCCCTGCTCCCCAGAGCTGGCACCCCCCCCCGGGGCCAGGGATCCCCACTTCTGACCGGTCCTCTGCCAATGGCCCTCCACAGCCCTGCCCATGGGTCCCGTCCTGGCCTGCAGCGCCCCCTGCTGTTCCACTCTGGGGCCCTCACGTTTCTCTGAGCCCTGGCCTGCCTGGACCCACCCAATGCAGCTCAGCCCTGGCCTGCAGCACCCCCTGCTGGCCCCGTGCTCTGCCGCCGTACGGCCACGTTTCTATTCAGTGGCCTCGTGATGTGCAGAGTAGGGTGGGATGCGGCCTCCCCTCCTCCCACACCCCCTTTTGTTCCCTAATTCAGCCAAGCTCTGAGCCTCCTTGCCCCGTGTGTCTCCCTCCCTTTCTCCGCGCTCCTCAAACGCCGGAAGCCTTCCTGCCGCAGGCGAAGCACCCGCCGGCTCTTCGAAGGGACCATCAGTGTTCAAGCCCAGACTTGTCTCGCCGTTCATGGGCGCCGTAGAATCACAGTGCACTAGGACCCGAAGGGACCTCGAGAGTCCTCGAGTCCGGCCCCCTGCCCTCACGGCAGGGCCAAGCACCGTCTAGACCAAAGCTACTCCACTTTGGAAGCCCCGGGGGCCACAACGATACAGCACACGCCCAGGGCCGCAGCTTAAGTGTGGTTGCATGTACATGCAAATATATGCAAATAGCTTCTCTCACACTGACAGGCATGACGACAAAGATTAAGGCAAGACTACACCACACGCAGGCCCCATTTAAGTCAGCTCTGCTGATACAAATAAATGCAACATTGACCCGATTTACACCCTCAGGACAGCACTTTGCACGAGCAATGACAGTCCAGGAATTGAACTCCTAACGCACCTCAGCAGAAGACCATTCTACTGACTACTTTTTTGTTCTGGCTCCCACTTGCCAGCCATGTGTTGAGCCCTGTGGAAACCCAAACCGCACCGTGGGCCGCAAACAAATGGGTAGCTCGCGAGCTAATTAGCCCACTAGCGAGCAGACGGGCTGAAAAGAGCCCCGGCAGGAAGCGCAAGGGGTGGAGAAGCAGGCGAGAGGGCACGGCGAGGAGGGCTTGGCAAAAGGGAGTTCTTTGAAAAAGACACCTTGTCTCCCCCCTTTGGAAAGGGGTAAAACCCAAACCGCACCGTGGGCCGCAAACAAATGGGTAGCTCGCGAGCTAATTAGCCCACTAGCGAGCAGACGGGCTGAAAAGAGCCCCGGCAGGAAGCGCAAGGGGTGGAGAAGCAGGCGAGAGGGCACGGCGAGGAGGGCTTGGCAAAAGGGAGTTCTTTGAAAAAGACACCTTGTCTCCCCCCTTTGGAAAGGGGTAGAGGAGCTGGACGACACTGTAAATACCATGACAGCCCCAGCAGATGGCATCCGGTCCAGCCGGTCCGGGAGAGAAGGCAGCCCCGGAGCGGGGCGGGGAGCCGCAGGCAGAAGGGGAGGGGGGGGGGGGGGGGGGGAGG